TAATCATAGATTACAAAGGTCTAGTCTACACCACAAAAGTTAATAGTGTATTAAGAGATTTGTTCCTGAAAAAAGCTAATACACTTTGCAAAAGAGTATTAAAGTAAATGTACGAACAGAGATAAAGTTCTATTCACAAATTAAATTGAGGTGATATGTCTTCGTGAAGCCTTGGTATAAATTAGAAAAGAAAAACATTGCACAAAATAATGAGTATACTATATTTAAACAGTAGTAATGGATGTAGAATTTTAGGTGAATGGGAAAGATCATGATGATAAAATGTGTTTTGAAGTTTATTAGCAGTTGTATCGATTCATTTTTTAACGTTTTCTATGAAAAATAAATCGAAAAACAATCCGAAATGTTATCAAACGACCACTCCCATTGCCTCCTCTACATTCGTCACTCTTAATAAGATGTTGGTCACTTAAAATGGCATCAAAAAACAGTGTTTTGCTGTTTTTTTCTTATCGAGGCAGACTAGTCATGATAATGGCTGCTAGCATTGTGTCACTTGTCAAAAGTGTCAAAACTCAAAATTATTCAAAATTTCACATACAAACAGGTAGATCGTTACAATATTTAATATTGTAGTCACGAGCAAAACAAATACACATACTACGTTGTTGCTTAAAGAATATTGTCAAAAATATTTTGATTTTAAACAAAGTTTATAGTCCAATGAAGTTTTTTCATAAAGATCTGTTTTCAATATGAATTTCATTTCTGTTCATTAGTATTAAAAAGAATGACAAGCAGAAATTAAATGAGCTTCAATGTCTAATGATTTCCATTTGAATCATATTTTTATCACTACTAAAGAACTTCGAAGTATGTAGCATACGACATCTCGAAGTTTTTGTAAAAAAAAAAAACCTGACGTAACTATTTTTAATGTGACATAATATTAGAATCCGGTTTTATAAGAATCTTTATTGTATCTTTAATTTTTGAAATTTAATTTTAAATTAAATATCTGGTCAATAATATTTTGTACAAGATTCAGTAAATGAGAAAGTAATACTGAATGATATAGGCACTTTGAGCATTGTATCTAATTCAATGATAAATATAAAAAATAAATATTTAAGAAATAATAGAATTCATTGGGAAAGTATTTTTATGTCTTATAAAAAGCTTAAAGAAATTTTCTCTTTATATTGCTTGACAATGAAAACAAAGCTTTACATTTCTATGATATTTGATCATTTCTCAACTAATAAAAAAAAATAATAATACTTCTATAAGTGTTATTTGTTATGATATGTTGACAATAGCATTAGACCACAGTGTCTCTTTTCTGCATTTTTTTCTTTCATCATCGTCTCTAATACTTACTGTCTGTCCAAAATTAAAATGGTCTCCGCCATTTTTTGAATAACTTCAGAATGGAAGCAGCTAGAGAGCTGCGATTTTCACCAGTCGAAAGAGGCGACGCTGGAGTATCTTTTTCTCTGACGTTGTATGGGCCGACATCATTTTCAAATTAATTATTTCTGCAAAACATTGGAAAAAATGGATGAAAACGGCTTACCATTTGGATGAAATTTTGGTTTTGATATGTTATTTAGATAGAGGAACTTCAGATCTATAGTTTAAGATATAATTTGAATGATTATCTTCACACATTCTAAGGTAAAGCACATCAAATTCTCAATTTACTCATTGAAAAGGTATGAATTTTTCTTAGTTTTTAAGCAAATTTTCTGATTTTTTTTGAAAATTTCATCTTAATGACGGATTATTTTTGTACATTTTTTCGACATTTTACAAAAACGGTGGATTTTAAAATAGTTTCTTCTTATACAATATCGGAGACAAAGACGTCCCGATATCTCTTCTTTAGACTGATGAAAACCGCAGCTTGCTAGTTGCTTCTGTTCTCAAGTTATTCAAAAAATGGCGGCGACCATTTTAATTTTGAACAGACAGTAGTTGATATACAAAAACTAGGAACAATAGCAAAAAAAAAGAAATATAACAACAAGTCTTTATTTCATCAGATGTTCGAAATAATCGTTCTGATTATTCACAATCAATTGTATTTGTGGAATTCATCTATCAAAGGTTTTTATAATACTCTTATTTATTCAAACGATTCATGAATATGTTAACAACACGATGCAACAACTCGAAATCATTTTGATCACATAGATTTTATTTGATTAAGACAAATAACCAAAAATTACATGACGCTAGACTCGGAGAATCACTGAAATAAAAACTTGATGGACTGGTGTAACGTGCCCGTAGTATGCAGTGTATGCATGATATTTTCCTCTTCTTACTACTTCTTCTCATCTTATGTATTGTCCTTATCTTTCTGTCATTACTTTGTACATCATGTTGCACTTTGTCCTTCTCTTCCTTTCTTCTGTCTGATGGACGAGTATATAAGTGTATGCTTTGTATATAAACGATGCGGTTATGGATAGGAAGAAATATGATAAAGCGTAGTTCCATCAGCGCTAGTTCTTCTTCCATCTAAAATCGTCACAACTGGTTTTTGTATTTCTTTTCTGTTCTACCGACACTATTTTTTGTATTTCTTAATACGTATAGATCACTAGGGATTAGAATAGAGGAGAAAAAAAAAGAGAAGAAATACATTAAACCGAGGGTACACAATGAAGACAATATGATTTAATTTTATCGTCACGTATTATAATAAACAACTCTTATCAAAATACTACTACTATGATATTAGCTAGAGAACGATTAAGTATCATAGGAATGTAGAATGTTGATTGCACGATCAGCTCATGTAGAGAAAAAGCTTCTTATAACTAAACTCAAGTGCCTCAGCCCTTATTTTTGATATGCTCTAAATATATTATTACTGTATGAAAAACTTATTTTCTATATTCAAACAATAGATACTGTTGACATGAGAAATACAACATTAAACTTTTTTAACCAAATGTATATTGTTAAGCTGTTTCAAATATTGTTTTTAAATAAGTAAAATTTTGATTAAACTGTTATTCGAAAAGAGAATTCATTGGGGTGTACATATGGCACTCAGATCCTCAATGAATCATAGCAATAAGACGAAAATTTATATTAATAACGATTCGTTCCCTAAAATTTGCTAGCTATTAAACGTCTTTTACATCGTACATGGTAAAGTTTACTGCATGAAACTCAGGAAATATTTTTGTTCCTTAGTATTTGATTTTTCCTTCTTTGTTATGTTCCTCTCAATTCTCATGTATATTTCTGTGTCTTTTTGTTTTCACGCTTTATGGATTAATTCTTTACTTCTGGAGATATTAGTTTTTCTTATCTTAGTACACTGTTTAGATGATTCTACCTTTTCATTGGTCGCTTATCTAGTATACAAATAAGATATAGCTGGAGTTGTCAACGAATTTGATGAGTTCTTTTTGTATGTCATTAGGTATCATAGTAAATCAATGTAAGAATTTGTAAAAATTATAGTCCACTAATATAGTCCTCAACAAACCGCAGATCATCGCTTAAAGGAAAAGAAAACATGCAAAGTGCATTTATTGTCTTATGTGATTTATTTAGACACTCATATTAGCATAATATATTCTACATCTTTGTCATAGAACAACACGCTTCTCAAAGTTGTTAATGTTCGAGATTATCTTTGGCTCTTGAGTAAAAAAAACAAGAAGTATGTCGATTATTCTAATAAATATTCATGTAGTTAATAATTAGAAATAAATGAACATTATCATACATTATAATGCTCACATAACACATATGATTTAAACTGGAACAATATCACCAGTAGACTGGCTATCAATTGGCGATACTTTGATACTTGAATGGCACACTATCCTCTGATCACCATTCTACCACGGTATACTGGTATTAGCGTGAACAAACATCCAAGATAAAAATGAATGTAATTACATATGAATATAATTTATTTCTTGAGTTTTCATGCACTATTTGTCAAATAATGTTCTATAGCCTATAGATTATTCAATCTATTATGTGCATTATTTCTTATTAAAATAAATGCATGAAAATTCTTTGCCTTCGCATGAATCTTAAGAGTATCCCTTCGTTTTAGTTATACTAATTCTCGAAGAGGGCACAATTGATCTGCATCAATTTTTTCTCACAATTAGAACACCTTAAATATGGAAATACATGTTTCGAGAAAAAGAATTTTAAACGAAGTTTTCGAAACGTTTTCGGAAAATTTTGGTTTTGCATAGGACCACATCGAGTGTGCTTATGGCTTTCGTCTAACTCTGTTTGATTGGGCTGAAAATTTCTATTCAGATGTTTCAGACTATATTTCAGTGCTAGTTTTAAGCTCTTCAAAAAAAATCTGACTTCCATTTTTTTTATGAGAGGAATACATAATGGTTCGAATCTAAAACCAAAATTTTGGTGTTCAGAGCTCTATAAATCCGAAGAAGAAGGTCAAAAAACGAACACGGTCGATGTCACCTCTTGAGAATAAGAACTCATGCAAATCTGTTGTACCATCTGCAAGAACGAGAAATGGCCAAAAAATAGAAGGAAACTACCGTTAATCTATTTATTTCATAAAAAAACAACCCATTTATATGAATTAATTGTTCGATAATCCATGATGCATTAAGAAACTCATCGATTATAGGACATTATTTGACTAATACAACATAATAATTCAAGAAATATGTTGCATGCTCACGTAATTACATTAATTATTTATGCATAACAGTGCATAATAATGCCAACTGTCTCTAATTATGTTCTAAAAATTGGTTACATAAGTAATAGTATTTTTGCCGAAGGAATATATACACATTTTAGCGAGCATTTATTTTCTCGTTTGAAAAATTGAAAATCTTCTAAATAAAAAAAATGTATATTTTATTGGTTATAGACCATGATACTGTTCAACAATATTCGATCATAATCATCACGATTTAATACGTACTGAAACGAGGAAACGTAATTAGAAGGAACGAGATATTTAGAGAAGCGAAAAACGTTTGTACTTAGCGTTTATCCAACAGTACATTTTAATGCATTTTTCATATCATAAATCGTACATTCGACTTTGGTGGCGTCGACAAGTTTTTCGTTTTCGGCGTTTATCACCCATATGGTTTGTTATAATATTTACTTGCATATTATTCCTTATTATTATGGTGCCAAATCCATTTTCTGCTCAATATAGACGAATTTCAATTGATCAAGATGTTCATTGGAAGAATGTCAAAGAAATATTAGAAGTTAAAGAACAAGTACGTCATTCTAATTTATGATTAGAAACTAACACAGAGGAATTTTTTGTTTTTGAAAGTTAGATCGAAAGTTCTTTAAAAGACTTAATACGTTTGTAAATCATAATAAAGTTCGTTATCAGTTAATCAAGAAATATTTTGTTTTAGATTTTTCAAAATGAAACATTAGTAAATAATGTCAAAGTTATTAAACATGGAAATGACCAACGACAAATTACTTCCACTATCCTCATTGTTCTTTACACTACAATTTTTCGTGATAAAAAATTCTGTTCATATTCTATTAATCGTATTTTTGGTAAATCTTGTCCATCAAAACATCGTTGTTTATGGTCATGTGATCATGAAAAATTTCGTGAAGCTGATGCATTGATATTTCATGCTTATGACATTCCATTGTATCGAGCACCGATGCCAAGTCGTTCCGAAACAAAACCCGATTCTGTTTGGATTCTATGGTCAGATGAACCTCCTTCCATAATTCAATATGCTCTATTTAAATCGTATCATTTTAATTGGACAATAAGTTATAAACTAAATAGTGAAGTATCTATTGCTACATATGGTTTATTTAGTAAACGAGATAATCCATTATCAGATAACGAATATCAACAATGGATTAGAAAACAATTCTCGGATCGAGCAAATGGTGCATTATGGTTTGTTTCAAATTGTAATGCAAAAAAACGTTTAGAATTATTTTATAATTTAAAACATGCATCAGAATTATTGATTGAAGGTTATGGCCGGTGCGTAGATTATTATCCAATTCATTTATGTGGTTCATCTAGTCAATGTGAATATGATTATATGTCAAAGTTTAAATTTTATTTAAGTTTCGAGTCGAATACATGCCGAGATTATATAACTGAAAAATTTTATAAAGCATTTTATTACGGTCTCATACCGATTGTTTATGGACCTGAAAGAAGTGATTATAATCGTGTGGCACCAAAGGATTCATTTATACATACGGATGATTTCGATCAAGATATGAATAAACTTGCGACTCATTTAGAAGAAATTCATTCGAATTTAACTGTATTTTCGATGTATCATGAATGGAGAAAAAATTATGAAATTATTATTGATGGTAAAGCATTAGAACGTGTACGTATGTGTGAATTATGTCAGCGATTGGTCAATATACGAAAAGGTGAAATGATTTATTATGAGAATATTGATAAATTTTATAATGATAGATGTGATTATATGTAATTAATATAAAAACTTATGTTTTGTTTTATTTTTTGACTGTGCTATAATAAAGTTGATGATTTGTTTTCGTTATTTTTCAATATGGTCTCATATTTTAATTGAAATATCAAAATGAAATATATTTATATATAAGTAAAATATCAGCATAAGTAAATATTATATAAAAAAAAGTAAATATAAAAAAAAGTATTGAATTGACAATATTTGAAGAGAAAAACTTAATAAACATTTGAGAAAAATTGCACAAGAAAATAACTTTCAATCAGTAAAGACTAATATGTTTCTCACACTTCATTATCTCATTCTTATACTGGAACATTAACCGGTGAAGATCGATGTATACTTTGTATAACTGTAGAAGAAAATTTACAGCGTGTTACTGTAATTCCTGTGAAACTAGAATATGAAACACAATCGGTCTATATATATTGTAAATAAAAAAATTGTTTGAAAAGAGGATCAATCTTAAATCCAATCTTCTTTCATAATAAATCCATAGAAGGCTTTAATTCTATGGTTAACTGTGTCACACACTGTGAATGAGCAGAACGTTACTAAGATGTCTGTCAGGGGAGTGGGACACTGTGGAAAGAACCAGGAGCCATTCCTACAGTTACTATAGCATGATGGTGTAGTCTGTAAAGTAATATTATTTGATCATATATCAGCTTGGATTTCAGATAATCTAGTAGTCAAAAAGCAAGGTAACCTATGCTTACAAAATATTCAATCACATTTCATAATGAGCACTGAATGCGTTCTATTAGATAATGTCGTGTTTTTAGAATCAGTTGTACAGGATATCACAACTCATATCTACTGATATTCTGTTTTTTTCAATGATTGATATTTTATGTTTCAATCATTCATAATGGTTAATGTACTTTTGGACAAAAATCTAATTTTGAGTTTTAATTGGAATTTTTTTAATTAAATTGAACAAAATCATTTCAAATCAGATATTCTCTATGAGAACACTTTGCCGTCTAATCTTCAAAACTAAGCTATTGGAACCATCATCAACGATAGATAAATGTGATTGACGAAAGAATAACAGAAAAACTGATCATTTTCTTTGATACAATGCAGAATAATATATATCTACTGATGATTTTTTAGGTGGACATTTTCAAGTTGACATATATATTCTTGAAATGAATATAAGTTGACAACTTATCGTCTGTTCATGTGCTAATAATAATTTCATTGTTTTGATAATATCTAGAGAGCTGTAATAATAGTTGATGATAATGTACGTTGGTCAAATGGAATCGTACCATATACTATTTCATCGAACTACGGTAACTCTTTTTTCGGCATCTAATAATAGTATTTGATTTTAATGTGTAATAGATGAAAAAGACATGTATTTGATTTTTTCATAAAATTTTATTTATAATGTCTCCGTATGATATAACGTATAAATTCTTGATTGACAAGATTACGTTTACTTGTAGGCATTGTAGATCAAACGATAATTATTAATGCTATGCGAATATTGAAGAACTTAATAGCAGTTAATAATGTACCTTGTATACAAATTTGTGACAAAGTTGTTTCTAATGGACAATATTATTTTATAATGGAAAATGGAAAAGGTTTTTCATCTTATGTGACTAGTTTGTGGAAATTGTGTTATTTATATTATAATACATATATTTCAATTTTTCAAAGTCAGATGATACACAGGATATACATTGAATCGTTCGATGGTATTGCAAAGTCCTGGTTGTTTTTGCACAACAACGATTATGCATGACATAATCTATACACCAGGTAATATTGAATACTTTTTTCTTCTTATTTGTTTAAATATTGATCACTGTCTAAACTATATACTTAATCGTAAAAGAAAGCAAACAATAAAACGAAATAGACCAATATTCAACATATATGAGAGTTCTATAGCTATCTGAAATACTTTTTAAGAAACGTTGGTAAAACTGTATATAGTTTGAAATTAGCTGGTTTTAAGATTAGAACTTGAACAAAATGAGGTTCGAAAGTGTTCATCTTGATAATGATAATTTAAACTTTAAAAAATCTTAAAGGGAGTCTGCTCCCTTTCTAGAAGTTTTGTATAATGGTTCATCAAAAAATTTTGAAAATTTTAAGGCAAATACACTGTGATGAGTAGACAAAAAGTTGCCATAGATTCGAAATTTCAAGATGTTTTCCAGTAGGAAATATTGGGGCTATAAAGAAGAGAATCCGCCCACCCCCCCCCCCCCCTCCCACCCTAGCGCTGTTGTCTAGATTCTTTATTCGAATAAACACACCGACATCTTGATTTCACTCTAAAAAATGCATAGTTTTTGGTATATTCTTAGCTGGATCTTTTTTTTGTAAACTCTAGCAAAAGCCAGCAGTGCATAATATTGTGAAACGAGAAAAATTAACTAATACGTTCAATACTTTCTAGGATGATTAGAAAAAAGTTGTAGCTCGATTCAATGTATTATAATTAAGAAAAGGGAAAATTCTGCACTTTTTTGTTCAAACATCTCATTTTTCGAACAGAGCGAAATAATGTGTAAACATTTTTGTTTTACAACGAAAGTGTTCTATCTTGTTCAGTTTTCTGGCCTTTGTAGAGCCACATATATTGATTTGTGAATTATTTCTAATAGATAGAGGACACTTTGAATCATGTATAGAACCGAAAAAAGCAAAAATGAAAAATCTGAAAGCTTTCGGTTTGGAAAAGAGTGTCTCTTAAGTAAAATATTCTTATATGAATTTAATTTTAACTGATCAAAGTAAAACAGCCAAGGCTATTTTATGATATGATTATCTTTCTATTTTGAATCTGATTAGTATTATTCTAGTATTTGAAACAAGTCAGCTACAAAAAGTTTTTCTTGATAATGGTACTTTGTCATTTTGTCTAAGGCATAAAACTGATCTAAAATATAGTTAGACATGAAGTTTTTCATTTGGAATTATGGTTATAACTTCCTCTGTGTAATAAAAATTGTCTCTACTGATTGACACTAGTAAAGTAGAGCTCTTATTATTTACAAAGAGTACCATAACAAATATAATTTTATGTAAATTTAGGCTTCTATCATGAACAGTACCGACCAGATCGCGATGATTACGTCAGAGCCATTTGAAAGAGTATCATACCATGTAATACAAATGTTGTTTCACTCAAAATTATTGTTTGAAAGTAGAAAAAAAAATATTTTAATTTGTTAACACTGAATAAGTATGGAAAGTAACTTCTACAGACTTGATTTTACTGTTGTAGATACTGTGAATACACCCTACGACTGGAGCTCAACAATGCACTATAGTAAAAATTATGTTAGCACAAATAGTTTCGATATCCGCATGGTAGTTAACTCGAGTATCAAAATCGAACAAAACATTACTTTAAATCCAAATGACATCCTAGCAATTCGAAATTTGTATGGTTGTTCGGTACTTACAGCTACAACAAATACCACCACGACTATGACACCTACAACAACAACAACAACAGACACCCTTACAACATCCACTTTATCGAGGAGTACAACAGTAATTCCTACTAAGGCACACAATACTAAGGCACTCAAGAATAAGACATTCACTACTAAGAGAGCTAATACTAGGACTTGATGAACATTAAGGATGATCATATCATATTGCTATTATATTTTTTATTTTTATTTATTGTAAAATTGATCGGATTCTATCAGACAGAGTTGTCTTCATCAGATGATAAAATGATATATATCTATATAAAATTTATACACGCAACATTATTTTCTAGTATCTTTTTTGCTTTCATTTTACTATTTATTGAAAGTAGAATGAACAAGACGGTGATATCGAACAAAGTTTTACTTTTTGAGTTTTTTCTTTCGTTTATTTCATTATTACCGTCCTATCTCCCATAATTTTTTGTTGTTCTCTGTTTCTTGCATATCTTTTGTGTTTTTTTTGATGATATCTTTGCACATGGAAGTAGTTGAAAAGTTTTATAGATATATATCCATCGTTTTTTCTTTTAATTGATTGGTTTTTTTTGAGTAAATGGGTTCTTTAATTTATCTTTCTTTTAATTTATTTCCTTGTCAATTACTAATACTTTTCTTATGTCAAAAATGCATTGGTAGTCACTCTCATAATAATGTCGTATTATGCCTCATGTTGAATAGTTTTCATGCATTTTAATTTATTGTTCATATTGTTTTATTCCCTTTACCAATCACACTTTCGTTGCATCATTATAGATTTTTTTACAGTTACATTTTATTTGGTATACATTAAATTGTCATCTTCTATTAAATGATGAGTTGAGTAATGATTTTATTTTGTTTGCGTAAGTCAACAGTAGTGAACTAGAGTCCTTTTTTCGGTTTGGTAATAAATTTCGACAAGCATCAAGCGTGAACAGCAAAGGTATAGTTTCAAGTCTTTGTATAGATTTTATGTCTCATACTAAGCGATTTCTAATGTTATCCTAATGTTTTTTTTTATGTTTATTTTTTTACTATTCCTAAAACTTGCCATCAACAAAAGAGCACTACAAATTCAACATAAAAAGCTACTTTATAAGTTCAACTGAAATCTTATTTTATTTTTGTTCTTTACTGCTATGAATGCTTGTATAATTTCATCATGGTTAATTTGAAACGTACGTGGAATGTTAAGAAATTCAAGTTCTCATAAAAGATTTCGTTCTATTGTATTTTGAAGATAGATTTTGATTCTTTTTAATGATGGGAAGTTTCTTGCACACTCACACGTATTCACAATCAACCTTTACCGATAATAACTCTAAACTTAGAAACTATTTGTAGATCTGTCTTTAGAATTCAACAATTGATATAAAAATTTTGTAAATGTATATTTTTAAGCTTGTATTATTTATTTGAACAGTCGCCTATCTGAAAGATAAGTAATCATAGTAAAAGTTAATTAGAACGAATGTATGTTCAAGGTTATATACGGTATAATGTATCTTCATAGGGGTTTGAATCCGCATCTTTGTCCACCCAGGTGAGTAA